AAAAAAAAAAAATTCCACGTTTTTGTGTTTTACAAGGATCTAATTCCCGGATGATTCCCATAAACCCTTTAAATATGGGATTGAGCTTTAGGTCAGGCTTAATCCGGGATGTTCCTGCTGGGGAAAACAGTGTTTTCCGGTGGGAAAGGTGGGAGAAACCCCCCCCCCCCTCAATATCCACTGAAACTCTTCTGAACGGCTTTGGAAAAATCAGTTCCTCCTTCCCGTGCCATCCGTGGAAACTCTCCCGGAGGTAACCATGGAAATGGGATATTTAAAGCTCGGCTCCGAAGGGGCTTTTTTTAACCCCGGCTCCCGGTGCTTCGCTTCCCAATATTTAGGGATTTTGGGATCAAAACCGCCGGGGAAAAAAACGAGCCCCCGGGCGCTGGGTTGGGTGGGATTCCAGGGGGATTTGGGATTCCAGGGATTTTGGAGGCCAGGTCTTGCCGTCAAGGAAAGGCTGTTCCGGGTCCGGGTGTGATTTGGGAATGCCGAGCCTGTGGGGGAGGGGGTGATCCCACCGCATTCCAAGAGCCCGGAAAACCCGGCGTGGCTTGGAAGTCTCATCTGTTAAAATCTGGGAATGCTGGGATTCCCGGGAAGCGTCAAACCCAGCCTGGCTTAAACTCTGGTTCCGCCTTAAACCACTGGGATTTATGGGATTTCTAGGATTTATTTTTCCTAAAAGACCCCCCATTTCCTCCGGCTGCAGGAGCAGGAGCCAACCCCTGGATTCTCCAGCTCTTGGGAATTCTGGCTCCTCTTTTCCCAGCCCTGGGAGACTCCTCCGGAGTCACTTGGGTGGGAGACGCCGGAGCTTTCCAAGGTCTCAGATCCCATGGATCTCCTGGGAAGGTTTCTCCATCCCTAATTCCCATCCTCCCCCTGCAGAGTGCAGAGTGGAGGGGGAGGTTTTCCCAGATTCCCACATTTCCCTTCTCCCTTCTGCTGGATTCGTGTGTTTTCCATCTCCTCGAGGTGTTTTCCCGCTGGAATCAGGGATAATTTGGGGAGGGCAGGGATGCGTTTCCTTCCTTGGGATGGGAACAGGAAAACACGGTTGGAAAATCCCGTTAATTAGCTCGGGATGGGGTTGGAACCGATGGATTCGGGGACATTTTGGGATAATGTTCCACCTGGGATAGCGGAACGTGCCGGGGTTGGAGCGGGATGAGCTCCGAGGTCGCTTCCAACCGAACCATCCCGTGATTCCCGGAGAAAACGGAGGAGTGGGTGGGATTTTTCTGCTGGATTTGCAACGTTCCCTCCCCTCTGGATGCGCTTCCGTGCGGCAGGATTGCAGCTGGAGCGCTCCAGCCGGAACAATCCGGGAGTGAATTTTAATGGAATGCATTTTAGCTGAGATCCGTGTTTTCCTCCCCGCTCCCCTTTCCGAGTTGTCTGAAGGGAGTGGAATCAGGATGAGGAGGATTCCAGGGCTCCGTGGGGGAATTTCTGGGATGAGTTCAGGGCTCCTGGAGAGCTCCGGGGGCTCCTTCTCCTCCCAAATATCCCGGTTCTCCCTGTGGTGATCCCGCTGCTCTGGGACAGGGATATGGGATGAAGGGAATGGCTTTTAACTGATGCGGAGAGATGGGAGATGGGGAAGGGATTCCTGGCTGGGAGGGTGGGGAGGGGCTGGGCTGGAATTCCCAGAGAAGCTGTGGCTGCCCCTGGATCCCTGGGAGTGTCCAAGGCCGGGCCGGATTCCCTTGGAGCCGCCCTGGGATAGCGGGAGGTGTCGGGGTTGGAACGGGACGAGCTTCCAATTCCCTTCCCGCCCAAACCATCCCAGGATCCCATGGATAACACCCCAGGGAGACGGATGACACCCGGATCCAACAATCCCTTCTCCCCTCCAGGTCTCCGCGGTCGGAGCCGGCCCCGTCTCCGCAGTGTCCATGTGAAGATCCCACGGAAGGGTCAATGCTTCCCGAGGCTTTAGGAATTCCCTCTCCTTTGCTTATTCCATGAACTGAAGAGTCCGGTTTTTCCCATGACCCATCTCTCCCCTCGGGAAAACACAGGTAAGGCCGCCCCTCGCTCCTTTTCCCAGCGGCGGAAAACCTTGGAATGCGGCTCCGTCGGGAACCTCCTCGCGCGGGATTAATCCCTGAGAGCGAAATTCCTTGGGTTTCTCCGCCCTTGGGATCGTTTTCCAGCCGTCCCGGGGGCGGTTCGGAGCAACGGGAGTCGTTTGGAAAGCTCAGGAAGTGGAATTATTATCCACAGGCGTTTTCCAGTAGGGAAGCGCGGGATGCCAGGGATTCGTGCCGGGGAATGGCATTCCCGGTGTTCCGGCATTCCCGGCGTTCCTCGGGCCGGGAGCTGGGAATTTTTAAGGAGTCCCAAGCTGGAGAAATGGAGTTTATGCCGAGGGCGGCTCGTGGAGCGGGAATTGTGTCCTTGGAATTCCCGGAGCCGAGGGCGGAACGATGGGAACGCTCCGGGGGTTTTCCTGCCGAGATCTCAAGGATAAAGTTGTGGGAAAACCGTTGGGATGATGGAATTATCGCCCACCTTTGGAAAGGGGGCAAAACAATCCATAAAGTAGCAGCCGGATGCCGCAGCTCCCGTGGGATTCGCTCCCTCCATCCGGGAATTCTCGGTGCAGGAGAGGGGAGGGTCTGTATCCCTTGGAATTCCCTTGGAAAACCAGCTCCCGAGGAAAACTTGCACCTCCAGCTGCTTCTGTGGGATTCCTGTTGATGGCATCCCGAATTTTCTGTTGGTTGTATCCCAGATTCCCTATTGGTTGTATCCCAAATTCCCTGTCGGTGGTGTTGGAAAGAGCTTTGGCGTCAGAGCCGGAGCGCGATGGAAAAACGGGATATTTCCTTCTGGAAACGGATTCCCTCTGGATCGAGGGTGGCTTTGCTCCTGTTCTCCACCATCCCGTCATTCCTGGTGGGATGACTGATCCCAGGAGGATGCTGGGGATGGATCGGGATCGGGATCGGGAGGTTTGGCCGCGTGGTTTCCGTCCTGGAATTACTGCTTCCCGGGAACGCTGGGATGGGTTTGGGGGACTGGGAATGTCGGTGTCCCCGTTCCGGACGGATTGGTTTGGTGGATAACGTTGTGTCCGAGACCTGGAGCCATCCCTGTTTTCCCTGATCCCTCTGGAAACCCCGCGCTTCTTTGCGGATTTGGGATAACTCTCCCCCCGCCTTGGGGACGAACCGTGGTGGGATTCAGGGATTGCTCCTAAAACCTGGGAATAATTCAACGTCCGTGCGGCTCTGCGACATTCCAAGTGTTTTCTGGGAGTCTCCCAGTTGGGGGGCAGCCAGGAAGCCCCTGCTTTTCCCGGGAAAAGCACGGCTGGGCTCGGGATTTTCCCCTTTTTCCCTCAGCTCCTCGTTTTGTGGGAAGTGGTGAATCCCTGTCCCACATATCCAGGAAATCTTTGGCTCCCGGGCCTTCGAATAAACTGGATTTTTCCCTTTGATCCGCCCGGATCCGACACCCTCAAGGGGTCGGTGGTGGGTTCTCCCTGCTTCCCACTTCCCGTTTTCCAGGTGGGGATGATCCCTGCCCATCCCGGGAACTCTCAGCCTGAGGGGGATTGGGCCGGATTTTCCCTTAGGCCGGGCTTTCCATGGCTTTTCTCCCTCATTTTCTCCGTTCCCCGCCACCTCTTTCCAAGGAAATCGGCGCAAATCCCAGTGCCCGGCGTGGCTTTTCCATGGACGTTCCTGACGCCAAGGAAAGGGTTAAATCCCTGGCTCTGGAATTTGGTGTTGCTGCAGGGGAAGGTGGGCGAGCTCCGCGTTAATTTTCGGGATGAGGCGTCCTGGTTTTCCCCTCCTTTGGGAGCTTTTCCATGGGGGAGTCCAGGGGGATCCCGCCCTCCATCCCGCCCGGCACCTCCCAGCTTTTCCTTGTTTTTTTTTTTTTTTTCCTTATTAAATCCCTTCTTTCCCGTGGCAAATGGATTTTTCTGGCTCGGCTGCTGGAATTCCCATCTCCTTCATCCTCGGGAAAAACATGGAAGCGGGATTGTGGATTCCCTTGCTTTCTGCTGATCCCAAACTTCCTCTTAGTTCCTTAAGGATCACATTCCCGCTGCTTTAAAGGGATTCCGTGCTCTCTCCAGTGCTGCAACACCGGGAATGGGATCTCCCAAAGGATGGGATTTCCTTGAAGCCCTGACCTCTTCCGCACCGTTCCCTTTTCCCGGGAATTGCTGGCGGGGTGGGAAGGGCTTGGATGACGGGCTTGGCGCTCATGGAATTCCAGGCCATCCACTTTTCCCTCTTTTTTGTTGGTTTGAGAGGGGGGAGTTGGCTCAAGCCCAACTCCTCCCTGGGAAGGAGTTCAGGGAACAAGGGGGTTCCCTGGGAATCTCGGCACTCAGGGAAGGGTCTCCCTTCCCCTTTCCTGCCTTTTCCATCCCCACATTCCATAAAAATCCCTCTGACTGGATTCTGAGCATCCTTTATCCTGGAATCCTGGAATGGTTTGGGTGGGAAGGGATTTTAAGGCTCATCCCATTCCATGTTCAGGGACACCTCCCGCTATCCCAGGTTGCTCCAACCCGGCCTTGGACACTCCCAGGGATCCAGGGGCAGCCACAGGTTCT